GTGGATAGGTTAAAGTCCTAATTTGGGTAGTAATAACGCAACAGAGTCCAGTATAATAGAACTTAGATCCTAGGTTGGTTTCTGTAGCTGTAGGGTTCCAATCCTTGCAGGTATATGGTGAAGGACAATGGGTGATGGAACCGGTGGTGGTGAAGGGTGATCCAAATGGTATCAAAATAAAATATCTTACTTTTGTAGAGCTTAATCCCGGATAGCTTGCAGCGGTATGATCCCCGCTTATGGGATATGTGGTGAGTCTCCTCTTCAGTGCAGTTACAGACAGCCAGCGGGGAGATAAAACAAAAAACAATAATGGTGCAGTATATTCCAAAAAATAGATAAAAATTTTAAAATATAGTAGATCCACTCACATTTAATAGAGCTTATACTAGCTCTAGTGTAGTAGGCATATAGCGGTATAATCCCCGCCTCTGGGATATATGGTGAGCATTCTTATGATGATTCTTTAAGATGGTAGCAGGAGCTCAGGGAGAAGATAATAAAACAGCAATAGTGCTCTCAGTAAAATATTTCTGGTATATAAAATATAATAAAATATACTCACAGTATATAGGGCAGACTAACTGCTCTATGACACAGGCACGAGTGGTATAATCCCCACCTAAGGATTCTTTGGAGTATAAGGAATGATAAAATAAAATAAAAACCTAGGTAGTTAAAAAGAAGTAGTAAAAAAAGAATAAAAAATGAAAATAAAATATAATGGTGCAACAGAGAAAGAGGACCAAAATCTATTTATTTAACAATAATAAAAGCAGTACAATATCCAAACGCGTTTCGCCAATATGGGCTTTATCAATGGTTTAAAAAACTTTCAACCTGGCTAGATAGAGTATATATATAGGCATAAGATAACTTGAAAATGGCGCCAAAATTGTTCTGACCAATCATAGAGCACATTCTTATTGCACACAAATAACAGCTTTATAACTTTAAAATTCCATAATTATGACTTGTGGGATGTTAAATATATAGTTTATTAATAACAATGAAGGATTAATTAAAATAAATTTTGGCATATTAGCCGAGACACGTGACGCGCGTCATAGGCGCAACGTCACTTCCGGTCGCTCGGAGTTATGGGGCATGCCTATGATGACGACCGGCAGCATTAGAGAGCCCAAAGAGAGGGGAGTGACCGGGGACCGAAGGGGGAGGGAGAGGGGAGTGGCTGAAAAACGGCTGGATCCAGGGATAAGCAATATGATAAAAAGATGGTCGCGGCGGCCATCTTGGTGGGGTAATAAGTAGCAAAAAGCTATGTAAAAACATAGCGAAGGCCATATTAAGTATGGCAACATAAGATTATATAAAATAAAAACCCATACAAAATGATAGCAAGGTGAATGTGGTGCAAATATGGGGATACATTAAAAAAGGGGGAAAGTACTACCATATCAATAGAATAAAGTGACATACATATATGTGACATGGCATAATAACAGGTATAAAAACAGAAAATAAATAAGTGAAATAAAAAAGATAGTAAAAATATCATAAATGAGAATGTAAATAAACTAGAGAGTATATAAACAATCATGAATAATTAAAATAGAATGTTATATAAAATTAAATAAATCAAAATCAGCATTTAAACCATTAGGGGTTAAAGTTTTTAAGTTAAAAACCCATTCCATTTCACATGTCTGTTTTATGTTTGGGATAATTGCCTTGTAGGAAGGTCCAATGAAGCCCAAGCTTCCTCGAAGAGGGCATGACATTTTCGCCTAGGATTTCCTGATACTTCAATGAATCCATCTTGCCTTCTACATGCTGCAAGTTTCCAGTGTCAGAGGATGCAAAGCAGCACCATTGCATCACCGAGCCACCACCATGCTTAACTGTAGGCAGAATGTCCTTTTCAGCATATGCTTCATTATTTTTCCACCAGACATACCACTGATCCATTAGCTAAAAAGTTCCAGTTTTGTGTCATCACTCCACAGAACAAAATCCCAAAATGGCTGTGGCTTATTTATATGATTTTGAACATATTGGAGCTGACTTTTCTTGTGCTTTTGGGTCATTACTGATGTACAGTGGTAAAAACTATAGGGAAAGAAGGTTGCACCAAAACAATATGTCTCTGATGCAGTTAGGCAACATGAAAAGCTAATAAAACAGGATGTAGTAAATACAGTATATAAAACAGGATGATGGAAATATAAAAAAAAAAATGGATATTAATATAGAAATGTCCAATATAGATTCCAAAAGAACACAAATATAAACTTGCCAGAAGAAACAACTGTGATGTTTTTCAGAGAGTTTTCTTCTGCTGGGAGGCCAAGGTCGGAAGAATTCTTGCAATCCAATATTTATTTTTTTATTTTTTATAATTCTTTATTTTTGTATTCACAAAAAGCATACAGACAATTGTCAGGTAACAATAATCGGAATGCAACGTAAACAATTTGCGAACATCTGTTACATAGAACCAGCAATCCAATATTTTTATCAAGGGTAGATCTGAAAGTATAAAATGACTAGAGAGATTTATATGATTCATATAGTGAGGGTAAAACTCCATGTGATGCTAATATCTAGCTTACTATTTAACTACTATTTAACTAGTGAAAGCTACATATAAATATAAAATAAAAATAAAGATAAAATAAAAATAATAAATATAAATAAAAAATTTTATTAAAAAATAAAAAAGGAAAGAGGAAAAATAAAATAAAAAATAAAAAAAATAGAAATATTAATATGTGAGGAGCTTGTGTTAAATGTATAGTGCAAAATAATTAATAATGTGTAAAAAAAAAAATTTAAAAATCAAAGTCTACATTTAGACTAGCAGGGGCTTGGGTTTTTAGGAGAAAGACCCAATAAAAACATTTTTGCCAATAATTTTCTCAACATCTACAACTCTCCAGGGAATTGCATTTTTGAATTCCAATACATTTTAGATGTTTTGGATTTGTATCATGTTTTAGGAGATGTCTAGATACAGAGTGGTTAAGATACCCTTTAATAATGTTACGACAATGTAATTTTTAGGCATCTTGATGTCATCCCTACGTATTGGAGGCCACATGGGCACTCCAATCGGTAGATTACGTTCTTTGTGTTACAACAAATAAGGTCTTTTCTTTTTTTTAAATTCTTTATTTTTTTCTATGCATAGGTCGTTACAGACAAGTGTCAAGTGCCACAACAGAACACATGCATAGGTCATTTTTTTTTTATCACAGTGGCACTAAAGAGAGATGCACATTTTTGTTTATGTCTTGGAATAAGCTATGAAAAGTGTTTACATGTAATATATATAGTTTGGCAAACATGCTGTGCTATGGTAGTAGACAGGGCGTCTGGATGTACTGTGCGCATTTTCAGAATAATAGAAAGGGTAGACTGTGGGAAGATAGAACTTATTGTGTGAGACTAGCTTGTCTTGTTGTCTGTGATAGTAACATAAGTGAGAGTCAAAGTTTATGGTACACGCTGGGCAGATTGAAAAAACACATTGTTTAAGGGGGTATACGCTCAAGCTGCACAGATCTGCAGTATGTTAGGGTTAGCAAGCTAGGTAATTGAGTATACATTTAGAGGGAAAATCATTTGCTAAGTGTGATTAGCCGGGTATGTAAGCCAGGAACTGTGCTGACCTGTGTCGGTTAGGAGCACTTTGGCGGGCATCTGCCCAGGTGAGCCTCCATCTGGGCAATCGCAGGTGTAGTGGCTTTGAGTGGGTAGGGGAAAGCCTCTGAGCCTCATCACCAGACGAAGCCAAAAGGCTGCAAAAATGGCGTTGATGCTGTCGAGTGTAGCACATGGCTGTGCTTCTGCAGGAGGCCCACGTGAGTGCTCCGCCATGCTAGGAGTGGTGTGTTGCCATTGGGATCGTAGCATTAAGGCCTGCGAGTGGCCTCCCGGGACCGTGATAACCCCCGCCAGTCCATAGGGGGGGAGGACAGGGGCCCACAATCAGCTTTGTTGGGCGGCGGGAGAGCGTCCGTCTCTCCCGCGTCTGCCCTGTTAGTAGGTCTCATAGTATGGTCGGGGGTTCTCGCTTGTAGTTCTGTAAGTGTGGTACCGTTAGATGCCCCTTAGTGTCACCGCTTGCTTGGCATCCGTATAAGTCGAGTATAGGCGATTTTGAGGCAGTTATGACACTATCTTTGCCTCCGTGGGCAGGAACTGCTCTGCTTAGCATCTGCTCGGTTCAGCGGTCAGGCCCCGCCTCCCCAAATAAGGTCTTTTATAGGATAAGAATTGTTGGTAATATTAGAAGCAAAGTGTGTAGTTTTAGATTTCATACTCGGGTTAGTGCTTTTACAGACTATGCATCTATTACATCTAAAGAAGCCCTTTGATTGTAATAAAAAAATATTAATTTTTATTAACGGAATCTTTAGAAAAATATTTGTGAGAATTGATTTAAAATTTGGGGACCCCTAAAAATAATGCTGGGATTATCTGGTATAAAATCTTGGAATATGTCATCTTGTTTTAATAGTGCCAATGTTTTCTAATAATTCTTTTTACAGTATTGCTCTTATTATTAAAATTAAATATGACTGTCATAAAAGGGGAGTCTTTTTTGTTTTTATTTTTCTATTCTAAAATATCTTTTGTATCATTATGTGCAATTATTGCTAAAAATTTTTTTAGGTTTTCCACTGGATAACTGTATAAACAAAAAATTGGGGAAATGGGGAGTCATGAACTACTCCTGTTTTGTGAATCATACACATTTATGTATCCAATAGAGGTAAAATCATACACAAAAAAGTAACCAATAGAGGAAACAAAGAAGAGGAGTCGTATACATATCTATATCAATATATACTTATTAAATATATAATATATCAATATAGATTTTTTCCCCTCTATAAGTCTCTTCTCACTTTATCTGTGAATCAAATCAACATATAGTGACTAGTGATGTCCCGAACGGTTCGCCGAACGATTCGCCACAAACGGTTCGCCACGAACTCATCATTGAGTAAATTTGACCCTGTACCTCACAGTCAGCAGACACATTCCAGCCAATCAGCAGCAGACCCTCCCTCCCACACCCTCCCACCTCCTGGACAGCATCCATTTTGAAGCTGCATTCTTAGTGAGCTGTCCAGGAGGTGGGAGGGTCTGGGAGGGAGGGTCTGCTGCTGATTGGCTGGAATGTGTCTGCTGACTGTGAGGTACAGGGTCAAAGTTTACTCAATGATGAGTCCGTGGCGAACCGTTCATGGCGAACTGTTCGGGACATCACTAATAGTGACTGTCCCCTAACCACTAATCATCTTTTTCCCCATTATTCTTTTTTTTTTTTTTTTTAAATGCCACAGCAGAACTCTGAATCACAAATCAAATAAACATACTTATCCATTGTGCATGTCTTTTGTTTCTATTAGTCAGAAATTGGGAATTTGGGAACATCCAATATGAATGGATGAATTGCAGTTGGCCAAGAAACAAGGTCTACTGGCTTTTCAACCCAGAAAACTACCCTGAAATGAAGCTGAAATTAAGAGAGAGCTTGAGATACACCACTACACATGCAATGTATATTGAAAGTTCAACGAAGAGTCAGTCACTTGAAAGTTTGGAAGTGATTTTAAATGCTATTTTAGTTTTGGTCTTTGATTAGTTGGTTGGATCATCTGATCTAGATCATCTGGCCTGTTTACAAGGAGATCAGAAGAATCTGTACATAAATACAGATATGCATGGCTTTGTACATTATGTTTTTTTCTATTAATTTGTCTGTTCAGTGTAAATCTGTTTGTAACATATTTTATATTGATGTGCATTGTGACGATCTTAATAAATAATTCATAATAAAAATTATTTTATAAATGTCTGTCTTTGTCTGATATAAGAATCACATTACCAAATATACTTATGTACATTAATTTGATTTCACTTCTGCACTCCAGATGTTGTAGACTACAGCTCACATTATGCTCTTACAGCCATAAAGCTGGCAAAGTATCAGGGGAGATGTAATTGATAACACCTGGAGTGACAAAGGTTACTTATCATGTCATAGACAGTTTTCTAAACTACTGTGTTTTTTATCTAATTTGGGTTGGGGTAACTTAGGACTTCCATTTATAAATTGTCTTGGTGGTGGCAGCTTTTATAGGTGTGGGTGGCACTAAGAGGGATTTTATATTATTATTTTCATAAAAATACTTAGTGCAGACAAGTAGTGATTTGTAACCCTTTTTCTCACTGAAGCAAGTCACCCGCCCTCCTTGGAGTGGTGTTGCTAATGACAGTCACATCACAGAGATCATATGCACAGAGCATTTGATCATTTGCTATTTTTCTATTTAAGGCATCAAGCCATAGCCAAAATTTTCTGAACTAAATATGCACTGCAAAAACAAAAAATGTCCAACTCTACATTATGGTTGCATTATGATTGCTATATTGCTGTGTTTATGTGTCACAACAATTTGTTACCTATTCTAGACTCTGATTGATGGGCTTTTACTGGGATGCTTCACTTCCGAAACATTCAGCAACAGCCAAGTTACGATGAAGTCAATATGCACCATGACTCTCTGGCAGTATTAAGTCATATATGATGCTTATCTACCATCACCTATGTGCTAATAGGGATGTAGCACACATATCCAACATCCCCAAGCACAATATACTGTACAAACTCGTCTATAAGTCGAGGGCAGTTTTTTGACCAACAATTGTGAAATATGCTATTACTCGTGGATAAGTAGAGGGTAAAACTTGGGGTTATGAAATTCTGTGATTTTTATAATTTTGTCAGATTTTACCTAGGTAAAGATCCTGGAACAATTAAACATGTCAGCTAAAAACTGGATTAAAAAATTAGCAATCATGAACAGGAACATTTCCTTTATTAACTGTAACTGTAACTGCATTAGGTGATATCAAGTGACATGCCCGCAATTTATATCAGTGTCATCTCTCTTCCCGACGATAGAGGCTGATTGACTCAGCAGTCAGCGATGATGCATGGGGCATGGTATCAGATTTCAGTCAAGCATCAACAGACTGCTGTTGTCCGTCTGTGTACCCGGTATCTGGTTCAATGTACAGTTAAGTACGCTATCACTACCGATAACTCGACATTGCCCCGCATTCAATGTACAAAATTCTATTGAAACTATCACTGACCCATGGATAAGTCGACTCTGTGTTTTAAAATGAAGTTTACGACTAAAATATCTTGACTTATACACGAGTATATACGGTAGTAAACTGTTTGTTTTTTTCATGACTAAGCCCATTGTCAAAATTTGACACGTGCAGGCACCATCAACCTCAATTTCTCTGGCGAGAGCAGAACTGTAAAAACAATGAAATCTGACTTGGAATTAACAAAAAACTGCAGCTCTTGCTTTAATATTCATCCAGCAGCACATGGAAATGAGTTAAATCTCTTTACTGGGATGCAATCTTTGTGAGATGATGGCAAAATAAATTAAAAGTGTAGAGATGTCCAAAATCTGTACAGATGAAATCAGCAGCATCTGGCCATCAACCCTGTTGATTAAATTCAGGAAAATAAACGTATCTTCTCCACTAAATTATACACAAGATCCACACAAGAGTAGATCTCAAACTCATTTTCTTTTATATAACATGAAACATAATGGAAGAGAGTTACAACCTGTCAGTCGAAAAATAGTTAATTTAGCTAGGTTTTGCAAGATTCATATTACTTAATAAGTAATAAATAGATTTAAGCAGGTTTATTGGACACCGCAATGTTTCGACCTGTAACCAGGTCTTTTTCAAGCTTGAAAAAGACCTGGGGACAGGTCGAAACATTGCGGTGTCCAATAAACCTACTTAAATTACCACAGTGAGTGCCTAAGATTTTTTTGTTTATACAGACATAGATATGGGCAGAATGAGTGTTTGATAGAGTAGCAACACCACTTTCTTTTTCTGTCTGTGTGAGGATGTTAACGTTTGCATAGTCACTTAAAATAACAAACTTTTATCTTCTATTTGTGTTAGGCGGTGAAGAATTCTTTAAAAGCTCTTAATTTGCCATGGACTTCTATTGATTTATCAATCGCTGGTTTTGCCTGTACCTCTGCAGAACTGAGAAGCCCAATTGAACGACACACACGTTGCTGGTCCAAAAACAGCACACAACAGTACATGAAATTAGAATTGTACAAGCCCCTTATTGGATCGTCCAATAGGGTACTAACACATAGTTCCTTAAGGGGCTTAAAGGAAATTGGGGGGGTTAGAGAGAGACACACATTCTTGCAGTCTTCAGGATATGGGTGGGGGGAGCGGGAAGTACTAACAGATGGTCAGTGCCATACAAAGAAAGGATACCAATGTATAGGAATGTACAGCCAACGCCCTGTCTAAAATGTATAAATAGGGCATAAATTCTCGGGATGAAAATATAACTTTGCCTCTTTATAAAATCGCGGGTAAGACCACACCTTGAATATGCTGTGCAATTTTAGGCACCTGTTCTAAAGAAAGATATCTTGGCACTAGAAAAAGTGCAGAGACGAGCTACAAAATTAATACAAGGAATGGAGCATTTTAGTTATGAAGAAAGGTTAAAAAAATTTAAATCTCTTTAGTCTGGAAAAACGGCGCCTGAGAGGGGATATGATAACATTATACAAATATATTCGGGGCCAGTACAAACCATTATCTGGAAATCTATTCATAAACAGGGCTATACATAGGACAGGAGGTCACACATTTAGGCTGGAAGAAAGGAGATTTCATCTAAGGCAAAGAAAAGGTTTTTGTTTTTTTACAGTAAGAGCAATAAGGATATGGAATTCTCTGCCTGAAGAGGTAGTATTATCAGCGTCCATACAGATGTTGAAACTGCAATTGGATAAATGCTTGCAAAAACATAACACAGAGGGATATAATTTCTAATTAGTGGGGTAATAGCTGCTTGAGCCAGACATCTGACTGCTATTTTTGGGTCAAGAAGGAATTTTTTCCTAGTTTGTTGCAAAATTGGAAGTGCTTCAGACTAAGTTTTTTGCCTTCTTTTGGATCAACAGCAAAAACATATGTGAGGAAGGCTGAACTTGATGGACGCAAGTCTCTTTTCAGCTATGTAACTATGTAAAATGAACAGAACTTGTTAGTCTAGGGGCTTATTTACGAACATGTTAGAAATTAAGAAGCATACAAATAATATTCTATCAATATGTAATGTTTAAAACAGAAAATTATTTCTCATTAAAGCGACACTGTCATGGCCGCATCAATTTTTTTTTTTTAACCCCCTTCCCGACTCCACTATATCTAATTAACCCCCCTAGTCAGCCCCAAATGCACATAGGCCCCCACATTACCTTTTTTTAAACCTAATTTTGTGCCCAGACCTAGGTCTTGAGCGCCGCCATCTTTGTGTGAGCAGATGAAGCTGTGAGATTACCGCGCATGCCCAGTTAATCACTATTGTCTGAAATTCAGACGGGAATTTCGTCCATTCATTCGTCAGAAAAACAAATTTCAAACGAATGTCAGTGTTCATTTGTTCATTCTGGTTATTACAAGGCAGGAGCTACCAGCGCGCAGCTCCCTCCTTGTAATATGTAAAAATAGAAGCAGCAGGGAGCAGTGCTCACTTCCACTTCCTAAGCCCCCCATGTCCTCCCTCACTCTATTTGGGTCAATATGACCCCATATTAACATAAGGGAGACTGAAATCTACTGAATACCCCTACTCGCTGTCTGGATTACTGTTTGAAATAAGTAACGTATTACCGGTCCTTAGAATGGCCGGATTTAACGTACAAAGAATAGTCAAAAATACTAGCCGAGGTCAGGGAACACAGAAAGGGACACAGCGATGAGGAAAGCCAGGAGTCAGGATACCAGACTATAGAGAAGTCAATAAACAAAGCCAAAGTCAAAAACCAGGTAGAAAACTATAAACAGGAACGCGCTCTCGGACAACCACAAGGGAAACCACGACAGGGCACTGAGCAGGCTGAGAACTGGGCCTAAATACCCCTCCTTTAGTTCTGATAGGCTGTAACCGGCCTTTGACCCCAAAGTCAGTTACCAGGTTTCATTTGCATAATTGCTGCTCAGCATTAACCCTTCTGTGGATTAGGTTGCTGCTCGGCACAACTTTTCCTGTGTGGACAGTAAATGTCATTAACCACATTTCTATAAGCGGATGAATACGTG